AGCAACAACAACAACAGCAGCAGCAGCAGCATCACAACAGCAATAATAATTCCTCAGCGTTTGATTTGTTCCAATGATATTTATTAGCCTAATGACGTACCACACACACGCACACACACAAAGACACTAACACATCACACACCCACACACACACACTCAATTCTATGCTATCCCCCCTTTGTATTAAATGTGCAAACTCTGATTATTTGTTGCAAAATCGTTTGTTAAATCAAATTATAATTCCAATTGTATTAATCTTATGATTATGCAGCGTGGCTCGCATTGATTTCCCTCTTTGAAATTCCAAAACCTATCCAAAATCGAAAATATAAATTCCATATCCGTCCTGTTGTCACCACTCGGAATTTAAATACTTCTGTGTGTTTAAATGTTCGTCAGAAATGCAATAAAATATATAATTAATAATGGTTGTACTAAATCGATATTTAGCACAACAGTAGGAAAGATGGACGGTTGAATTATCATTGAAATTGTTACAAAAAAAAAAAAAAAAAAAAAAATTAAAAATTATTAATATAAAAAGAAATTAGCAATAATTAAACAATTATGTGTATGTATATAAAACGAACGTGTGAAAATAAAGAATGAAATCAAAAACTATGCGGCTCCGTCTAAAATTTGATTGTTTATTTAGCTGGGGTATCATGAAATGCAGAAAAGAATTGTAAGTAAAATAATAGAATTTCAACTTAAGACTAAAAAACTAAGCAATGTGTGGAATGCCTTATGGGCATATATGTAAGTGTTTACGCCTCCACGGCTTGCTTGTTCTTGTTCTTCTTCTTCTTTTTCTTCTTGGGCTCTCCGTCTGCCTCAGCATTGCCATTAGCCGCCGCCTCCTCGTCCGCTGCAGCTGTACCATTACCATTACTGGTGCCATTTGTGTCAGCCTCTGCCTGACGCTTCTTCTTCTTGTTCTTCTTCTTCTCGGACTGTGGGGCCTCTGTGATCTCTTGGCCAGCCGCCTCCATGGCCTCCTTCATGACCTCAATATTCTTGCGGGGCACATCACCGGACTCGTAGAATTTCAGGCGATCTTCCACTTGTTGTTTTAGCGACTCGCCAAAGACGCTAGTCGGCTGCTCCAGGAAGCAATCGATGCGAGAGGCAATCGAGCATTTGTTGGCCAGAAAACGGGAGATGCGTCCCTTATTCTTGAGGCCAGCACGGCCAATGAACGACGAATGATAGATCAAACCATATTTGGGCGTATTGGAGCGCGTCTTAAGCGCACGGAAAAGTGCCTTCTCGGCGCCCAGAATTTGTACTGTCGACGCGGGATACTTGGCCAGATTAGTCAAGCTGCCGGCGTGTGAAATAAGGCGAGCGCCCACCTGATCGCCTATGAGCGACTGCAGGTTGGGGGCAACCAAGTTCATTTTGTTGTGCAAATAGGTGGAAAGCTTTTTGCGGTACTCGGAGAGTTTCACTACACGCTCAGCAAACAGCTCAATATTCATCAGATCCACAATAGATATATCCATGCCCATCGACATTTTTCCGGCATCGATTATGGCCTGAGCCTTGGCAGAGTCCATGACAATCTGCTCCAGACCTTCAAGCTTGTCCTGAGTTAGATCCTTGCGGTCTTTGATAAATTTGGCTGCCTTGGCAAACATATAATTGTCTGGAACAATTTTGACCAGTTCTGGGAAGTGGTAGGAGTACCACTCGCGTATCCGCATGGAGAACGTGTTTACATCCTTATCCAGCTGATCCAGCAGCGCTATTGACTGAATGATCATGTTGTCTGATCGATGGACATTAAACTTGACCTTGGCACGGGAGTAGCTGTGTCCCAGACCCAGTTGTGCCACTCCAGCTGACTTGTCAGTGAAGCCTGCCGAAGGAATAGATTGTTATTAGTTCCTAAAGAGTCTATAAAATTAACAATTGACTTACCTTTTACCAGCTTAGCAAAGTGGAAGCGAATACCTCGCAGTATCTCGGGCACTACACCAAAATGACTGCACGCAACGCCAATGGATTCAGTAATGGCAGCTCCCAGCTTGGCATCCGCAATGCCTAGGGTGCACTTCTTCTTCTTTAGCTTGGCAAAAAAGTCATCAAGGAAATGCAGCAAATCCTCCGGCACAATGCCCTCAGAAATGGCATTAATGTTCTCGAGGGCCGCAATAGCCGTCTTGAACGGCGCAAATCCCGCCAGTTTTACAATTGAATTGAACTTCGAAATGTCAGTGACGGAGGACTCGACTTGCGGTAGGAACATAGACACCTCCTCGAACTCCTTAACGGAGAATAGCGCATAGCCTGCCGCATGCTCGTAAAGCACGTACAGATTCGACTGTAAATGGAAGAAAAAACATATTAACACATCAAATTTACAGAAACTTAAATTTCATTTAGCCATTTTTTTCCACGTTGTCTCGAGCCCACTCCCGCAGGGTCCTATACTTAGGTTAGTTATATGTATAAGACACAGTTTTTAAAAATACATAATGAAAATTGAACGTTGACTATATTTTTCATATAATTACCATATTTAAGGCGAAAATATGCCGTCAAATAATAAAGAAAATATCAATATTTCACGGGATGGCAAGGCGCGTTGTTTTTCCACGTGCTAAACAGAAAGATCAGTGTTTACACACTTCCATTTTAATGTGTGTCCACATATCAAGCATAGACATTTCCGAACATGTGGCAGCACGGCTCCTACTGTCATAAATGTAATCGCGAGTGCATAACATGTATTCGTATATCGCCTATCGAGTTCGAAATATCGATGTTGTCGGTGTTTATTGCCAGCCCTACACTTTACCCTGCCAACAATTTCTTGGATTGGGAATAATTATAATTACCATCAGTTTTATATTTATATTTCGTATTCCAAATCGTCCAAGACGGTTAACTTACAGGAAATAACTATATTGCTAAAGAGGTTGTCGACCAGTTTACCTTCGTGGCAAGTGAACGGCAACAATAACTGTATGGCAATGGAATTTTTGTTGTAAGTATATATACTACATGCATATGTATGTAGTAACTGAATCACATATGTATGTACAAACATAAGTACGTATAATGTTCATTTTACATACGAAAGTTTGTATGCCATGTGAACTGGAAACACTGTTGCACTTGCAACTGAAACAAAGAGCACAACCCTTTTGTGCTTTGTTCAACCAATATTGTGGGTGTGAGTCAGTGGCTCCACCGTTTGTAAGTCGCCTGGGGTTGTTTGTTGTGGCATGCCAATACAAAACAACATTTTGTTTTCTTTTATGTTTGTTGCCTTTAGCGGTTCACGTTCAAGCAAAACGTTTAAACCTAAAAAGAACATACCAGAGGGCACTCATCAATATGATCTCATGAAGCATGCAGCTGCCACACTTGGCTCTGGGAATTTACGCAATGCAGTCGCTCTGCCCGATGGTGAGGATCTCAACGAATGGGTGGCCGTCAACAGTGAGTAGCGTAGAACCAATGAAACTGAGCATAACTAATTGTTTCTCTATTTGTTCCTCATAGCCGTGGATTTTTTCAATCAAATTAATATGCTTTATGGTACAATTACGGAGTTTTGCACAGAGGAAAGCTGTAGCATAATGTCGGCTGGTCCGAAATACGAATACCATTGGGCGGATGGTTTGACTGTGAAGAAGCCCATCAAATGCAGCGCGCCTAAGTATATTGATTATCTAATGACCTGGGTGCAGGATCAATTGGATGATGAAACATTGTTTCCATCAAAAATCGGTGTACCATTTCCAAAGAACTTTCTTGCCTCCGCTAAAACCATACTGAAGCGACTGTTCCGTGTCTATGCGCACATTTATCATCAGCATTTCTCCGAGGTGGTGACGCTGGGCGAGGAGGCCCATTTGAATACGTCCTTTAAGCATTTTATATTCTTTGTCCAAGAGTTCAACCTGATTGAGAGACGCGAACTGGCGCCATTGCAAGAGCTGATCGATAAGTTGACAGCAAAGGATGAACGGCAAATATAGGAATCACTGCAATCGGTGGCCAATACGACCACTGTCAATAGTGGCAATAGCTTGCAATTGGACTTGTGATGGGCGGGCGCAACTGCGCTTTACTTTCAATTGCATATTGTTGCTATAGGGATATATATATATATATATATATATCCATACGCTTTAGTTAGTTACCGCCTTTCCTTTTCTCGTTTATAGCATTTAAGTTTTGTTCAGTGCTTGATGTGGTCCCACTAAACCTATCCCCGATAGTGTGCTGTTTGCAAACGATATGATGAGCAACATCTACTATATATATTTTTATATGTGACACGTACTTTTAAGAGATATATAAAGCATATTTATATTTATATACATATGTATGTACATTCAAAAAAGCAATCAACATAACAAACAGCACGCAATGATACACTAACAAATCGCGCTTATAAACAACATTCTGTTCACAAAATCTGTGCGTAATTCATTTGTTTACTGTATTTTGTATGTGGTGTGTACGTATTTATTTTATATATCGATCAACAGATGTGAAATCTATTGCATTGCAAGCCCTTAGCAAAGTGAGACGACACTCGATAGCCCCAATAAATGATAATAAATATAGACTTGATAAACATTTTTGATATACTATTTTATACTAATAAAGAAACTGAAAATATTATGAAAGAAAAACAAGGCGTTAAGTTTACTTTATTAATTCAATATTTATATCGAACTGATGATTAATATGTATGTATATGTATATATGTATATTACGGTTCAAAATGATTCTACGAATGTGAACGATAAGAGAAAGCTGAACGCCTTCCAACAAAGCGAAATCTAATGATAATGATAAAACATAAATAAATATTTGTAAATATAAAGTGAGCATTTTTTAAAGCTTGAACGAACCCTAATATAAAGTACAACGCCATTTGTACGCATTATCGGATTAACAATCATAATTCGCATACTGAAAGTATTCTTATACTATATATGTACATATGTATGTATGTATATGCATTATTGTATATTCATATGTCTTAATCATATTTAGCTAATCGGTTGCTTATCGCTTGACTAAGCTTTTATATTTGCCTTGCTCCACATAGAAGTCAGCGTTCTGTTCGAGCAATCGCTTCCATTTCATAGCCAGCTCTTTGTAAGTGGGCCCCTGGCCACCCAAATTCTTTGGCAATTGCTTGCACTTTACCATTGTTCCCTCGCGTCGCACTACGACGCGGGATCGCATCTTTGTCGTCATGAAGACCCTAAATCGAACATATATTCATATTTTCATATTTATATAAGGTTTGGATCGGACTCACCGAAACGTGTTTAAAAATAGGTTAACGTGACGCGGGGCATTGGTGAATTCCAAGAGCTTGGGCTGACATGGATATGCCGTCCAGCTCTCAACGGAACGTTTAATGAGCTTGGGATTAAGCTGCAGTGCATGACCCAATTGGACACCCTGCATATCCATGATGGCAACGATACCGCGAGCACAGTTGTCTGGCTCAAACTTTAATAGTAAATCCAATATCATTTTGCTTGTCTAAAGAAGGGCAAAGGTTAGCAACTATTGCATATAAATATATTTGTGTATATTGAATATGTATGGTGTATACCTTAAAAACATTGTTCTGACTATGGCGCTTGGGATCGTGCGCTGCCGTCCGTATAATAACAACCTTCCGCTGTTGCTCGTCGACCCCATCGACGGGCAAAAAGACGCCCAGTGTGAGCAGTTCCTGTATTTCGGGCAACATGGGATCGCAATTGTCAAACCATTCGGTACGCTCGGCGCGCATTTGGTAAAATGTTTTTAGTTTCATTTTGGCGCGTTCAACATCGAATTTGCAGGTGCGCAAAAAGAAGTGCAAACTGTAATAGGCTTTACAGCCATTTATATGCGGATTGGCGTCCAGCCAATCGCTTAGCTCCTGTACCTGCATCTGCTCCTTTTTCTCTCTCAAATCATCCTCATTTTCCAACAAAACGTTGAAATCTGGCAGGTCGGCATCTATACTGTTCTCATAAGAGTCCATGTCCGCTGCTGCTGCCGTTGTTGCTGCACTTGCACTGATCGGCCGTCTGTGAGCGACTGGTCATTGCAGTCGTAAGCTTTCGGAGCGTACAAAATTAATAGCTTTTGCTTTTGGGCCTAGTGGGCGTTGGGCGGAGGGCAGAACATTTCAATACTGGTCAGTACTGGTAGACAGCCAGCTAAATATAGTTATCCATTAAGCGGCTAAGTGTGCAAAAACATTGCATTTATCTTATATAAAGTGCTCAATCGGATTAGAAAAAACTTTTCGTAAAAATACCGATTCAGCACATTTGAAATGTTGGGATAGGTCAAACGGCACGATTAGTTTGCTGAAGAAGTGTTGGGTAATGCTATATGTGAATCGAGCTGCAGAAAACTTGCTTTGCATTGGGGTCGCAGCACTGTTTGATCAGTGGTCGCAATTAGATCGTAACGTTCTCAATATACTAAGCATTCAAGTATTATAAAAATGTAAATTCATACATTTTTGCAAATTAGAAGCAGTAGATATTCTTAAAAATATTCAGCCATTTTTTAAATACTAAATTCCCAAATGTCAAACAGCAGCATTTTATTTAACATTTCGCGCCAAGTCAATCGCTTTGTTATCGATAGGCGATACAACGCATATGTAAATATCAAAATATTTATTTCTTATATTTTTGTCGGTGTAGCACGTGCGAGCTCGTTTTTTTTTCAAGTTTGTACTAAATACTAAAAATGGAGGAACCTGATGTAATGGAAATAGATCATATGGAGTGTGATGTTTGTGGCGAGCGCACATTCCAGGAACGCGAAGGCTATTATTACTGCATCGAATGCGGCACCAAGAAGGAGCAGCTACGCGCTGTAGAGATCAGCGCCGAAGACACATTCAACGACACATCAAAGCACGTCTCCCAGCGTACAATAAAGAAACCCAAAGTTAAGGCAGAAGAAAATGACATTACATCGTGGGAGTTTTTTAATTATGTGCTGCGCGGGTTTCTGGACGAGCTGCTGAACATGGGCGCCAAGCCAGAGCTCAAGCTAATGACACTTCAGGTGTGGGCCGCCTATATGGCACGCATGGAGGTTGCCTTCAACAAAAACAATGAGATGGGCCTGCCAAAGTTGAATGTGCGGGCTTTAGCTAGGTAAGGAAACAGGCCTTCCCTTTCACTCATATTTTTACTTTTATTTCTAATTTTGGTTGCCTTCAGAGACGCCCATATTATTTATAACTACAAGAAGATAAAGCGGAAGCGTGAACGCCAGGATAAGCAATTACAAGCTCCTGAAATTGGCGATGAGCGCGCCAACTGGCGTGAGTGGAGAAAAACCAAGGTACTCTCATGCTACAATTTAAACTTTATTTTAAAGTTCTTTTTTGTCTTTTATGACATCACTCGGCCATTGATTAGAAGTAGAATTGGTTGGGGTCCAGCAGAGGCAGCAATAGGAAGAAAGTGCGCTGCTTTGGATTTGCCGGGTCTGAGGACGGTGTGGATGGGGATGCAGCTAGTTCACGTTGGGGCAAGCTATTAGCTTCCACTAAAGCAGCTGTATAGAAAAATGTGAAAATTATTAAATAATAGCTAGGCGTTAGACTTACCCTCTAAGGGTGCCGCTGATGTAGGCAATGGTGCGTAGACCAGCACAAGAAGTGCTAGGCAGATTAGGGCGCAACGGAGAGACATTTTCCGAAATCTTGTAATTGTGATGCTTCAAGCTAAAATGCTGAACTGAAATGTGTCTTGCTAAGCTGACTATTTATAGTTGAGTCTGAACATTAGCAAACGACTTAAACAATTACCTCGGCTAATCAATCACCTGACTATCTAGAGTGAACTGACAACTAATGCTCTCATTTTGTTTTCATGTCTTTAGCGCAAATTGGATGAGTCGGGCTACAAGGGTAAAAAAGGCGCCCAATCAGAATCCACATTGCAAACTAACCAAAGTCTACAGCTACAATGGTCAGTGAATGCCCGAAAATGCATGAAAAAGCAAATGCCGCTCAAGCATCTGGATAAGCATAGTTTGGACAGTTCAGGAAGCATGCTATGCCATGGCCTGCGTCCCAAAGCTAGTCTTCTATGTAATTTTGATCGGAATATTTATTGCTTGAACATTATCAAATTGTATACTGTGCTGGCCATAGCCCTTAACCAAATTGAGGACGATATACAGTTAACTGATCTAATTAGATTTGTTAATGAGGAGCACCTGACTAGTCGCTATATGTTAAGTTACTTGCCTGAGAATGTCGCCATACACGGCAAGACGCTGGTGAAGCAAATGGAGTTAAATCATCAAAGGGATAAGTGTGGTTATAAGGTAAGTTTTAAATAGATTGTTTATACGGCTTATAGCTTATAATTTTTATTTTATATTTCAGTTCTTGCGTGCTCAGATTTCACATATGTCCCGTTTCATAGATATGAATGGTTTCCAAAAGCCGGATCTAGAAGCACTTACCAAGCGGTATGTTCTAGAACTGGATTTACCGCCAGTAATAGCCAGCTATGTTAGCAGCCTAATGGACGTACTGCCTCCTGCCTTTGAACCCAATTTTGGAATTCACGTCTATCCTCGCTATGAAGCTCGAGTCATGGCCTACATTATATATGTCATGAAGCTACTGTTTGGCCTGGATGATGTCAAGGAGCGCGCTATATCGGAATCTGCCATGCTCATTAACAAAGAGCTCTTAAAGCCAACTGATGAGCACACAGAGCAAGTGCAGCCGCTCTTCGTCTATACGGAATGGATGCAGTTTGTTGAGTTGCGTAAAGTTTTAGTGTCACATTATAGCGAAAGTTTCGCACAGCGATTTAGAGTTACTACCGGAAATGGGCGCAAGGTTAACGACTTTTTGAATAAGGAAAGGAAACAGAAGGAGCATGAATATAACCACATTGAGATGCAGATAACGCCAGCAATGCAGCGCATACATGAGAATATTAGTTTAATTTTCGAGACATTGCTGAAAGATAAATTCGGCGAGTCAAGTAGCGAGAGCTTCATGAAGGATCACATCGAGTTTCAGCCTAGTCTAACGCCGGCACATAGCTACTTCAAGCGAATTCTCCTGCACGCGAGCCAAGCAGAGGAGGGCGAGATGAGCGTACAAATTCCAGACTTCATGAAAATAGATCACACAGAGCGTCAACTTGAGCCCTTTAAATATCAGACAGCAGAATTGGCTCAGCACCTGGCCGTAAGGGGGAAAACGCTGCGTGTGGAAGAGTTGGCGGTCCAGAAGGAATATGAGGAAATTGGAATATTTCAGATGTTGGCACGTCCAACAATTCGCCACAGGGAATGGCGCGCCAATTGCGAAATAACTACACAGAATTGGCTGGACGAACTTCGACGACGGGAGAAACGACCCAAATTCGAATTCCGACGACCTGTTGCAACTTACGGCCGCCAATATCAAAATAAAATGATGGAACGCGCTGTACGCCGTCAGGCGCTAGAGAGAGATAATCCCTTTTGGAAATTACGCGATACGCCCAATTATATATTGACTATCGACAATGAGGATGTGTCGCTAAACAGTTTAGCTTCCATACAAACATTCGATGAGGACAACATGGATCCGCTGCGTGTGCCACTGAAGATGCCACGTCGTCAGGTGCGCCCAATGTCCCAAGAGACTACAGCATCTGCACAACCAAAGTCAGAGGAACCGATTAGAGAGGAGGAAGACATAACAGGAGAGCAGGAGCTTCTATTGAAAATATCTAATTTCGATTGTTGGCTACTGCATGGATATATAACACGAATGAAAGACTCCAGTAAGCAGAAACTCCGTTCGATTTTCCCCTGCTCCTTTCGATGGTTGCTGGAAACATGCGCCGCCACCCTTGGTGTCGAATGGGATGTGGTCTACGAGCAGTTGTTGGTACTGGAGGTGGTTTTCCATCATGGCATCGAGGATTGGAGCTGTCATAGCAACCATTTGCGCTTGAAATATAATATACTTAATAAGGATATCAATTTGTTAACCAAATCTTTTAGAGATATGTGGTAGAAGTGTTGTGTTGCAAGACTTCCTAATCTCATACATATTTTTTTATCACTTAATAACCGACACAAGAATAAACAAGTCGCACAAGCGCGTAACATCAATATGCAAATTAGCGTTTATCAGAAGAATGCCGAGCTGGCGACAGCAGCTACAACAGTAGCAACTCTTCTCTGTAGGGCCCGACTGGAAGATACCCTGAAATCTTGTTATCCCTATCGATCTATAAATATTTGAGGTATGCCAGTAGGTATATAAAACGTGAAACAGCTTTCAAATGAAAATTGATATTAATATTGTAATCGATTTTAATCGAATTATTACAGACGGAATAGAGCTAGGGCTAAATCGAATTGAGTGTATATTCAGATGAATATGTTACATACATTTTATCAAAACTATTATACTTTATTTGGAATGAATTTAGGGTATAACAATAATAATAACATCAGTTACTCGCACAGTTTTGTTTACATTTTACAAAAAAGAAAAAAATCTTCAAAAAGAAAGAGCACTAACAGCCTCCTCACGGCCGCAGAAACACATGCATATTGAGAGACTCTCCACATTCTCTTTCACAAACGTACTCACACACACACACACCCTCTGCACTAGCAGGTGCCGAGCGACGTTGCAGAGAATGAGACACAGAAATAGAGCGCGTGAGCGTCCGTTTGTTTACAGTGGAACACAGATAGGAAATCGAGCACGATGTTATGAATTAAAATTATTATTGCTATTGCCAAATTATAACTAATTGCCTGTTTAGCCTCGAGACTACTAATAATAATGTAGGTTGATAATATTTATTTTTGGAAGAACCCTTTTATATGTGAGGTGAATAACAATTGTTAAAGAAATAACTTCCTTAAAAATCTTCAAATTTCATAAAGTAGAGAACTCAGAATCAGGTTACTGTTTACTCCAATGCAAATATTTCACTCTCCTACATATCTAAAGTTTGTCTACATCATTAAAGCTCCGCCCCACTGTACGTGTTATGTGGAAATCATAGGCCGCAC